CTGACGTTATATTAAAAGCACCTCTTCCGTTCAGTAAAAGAGGCCGTTAAGACTATATTTCTGAGGCGAAGTCCGCGTATTTTTCAATATAAGCTCTTTTCGGAATATTTCCGCCTTCCATGAAATCTCAAAATACTACCGGACTCAAACAATGAATGATGACTTTACATTTTTAATCTTTACTTACCATAAACCGTCTTTCACTCGCACTCGCTTCCATCTGAAGATGCTGAGAAAATGGCGGCTTCTCGCACTGGTGTCGTCCGATGTTAACGTGACGTGCGTGCTCTCTTTCACGTCCGCGTTCCCAACCCAGCACCGCTGGGTTATAGATCAAGAACTATTTTCAACCCAAATTGGGTTATAACCATCCAACGTCCTTACCCTGCGGTCTCAACCCAGCACTTGGGTTGAAAAAACAAACCAGCGTTTTTTAGAGTGTGTGGATGAATTCGATTCTATTAACAGGTGAATCAATTCAATATTTTTTTTCAAAATGTATTTATCATAGTTTTCTTGAAATTCTTGTCATAATATAAAAACAACTTTAGAAAATGTAATAAATATGGTTCTAATATAATTTTTATATAAATAATTCTAATATTATTCTAATATATTTTAATATAAATGTTGGGTAACACTTTCTGTGAAGTCCGTATTTATAATACATTATAAGGGTATTCTTAAGGCATTATAATGAATGCATAATGCATTATAAAAAAACTTATAATATGTTATATCAACTCATGAATAATCATAACAACAGTTATAATGCATCATAATACTTACGTATTTGTGGTTATAAGTTTAAGAGTATGATTATTTATAACACACAATGAACACCATATTAAATCTACTTCATTTACAGAATAATGGACTGTATCATATCTTGACATTGTTTATTTAAGATCTGCACAGTATCTTACTACAGCTTGTGAGTGGTTAGATGTTGAGTGTTTCCTGTAGAGCTAATGTTATTTAATTGATGTGAGCTTTATACTCCAAGTCTCCAACTGAAAAAAATGCAATGTTTTATATGGTTACATTTTATTTTGATGGTCCCTTAATCAATCGACTATAAGCAACTTTGCAACTACATGCCAACTAACTCTCATTAGAGTATTAGTATGCTCAAGAATGGTAGAATCTAGTATGGTAGAATAAGTTGACGTACTTGCAAAGACACTTATAGTCAGTTTATCTGTTGGTTGACCATCAAAATAAAGTGTTAGCAAATATTTACAGTAGCAGACATACTGATACTCTAATGACCGCTAGTTGATATGTAGTTGCAGAGTCACTTATCAACAGCTGTTTAAAGGGTACCATCAAAATAATCCAACTGATATTACAATAAAAATAGTTCAAAGCAAATGTGTCATATTACACATTCATCTGATCTGATATCTGATCTTATGGCTGTTTGAGAAAAAAATATTATTATTATTATTATTACTATACTTATAAGTGGTCTTTGATGGCTTTAAGTAAAGTAGCATAAGAAAAATGGCAAGATATGAGACTTATAATACATTATAACTATGAGAAATATAATACATTGTAACTTAAGTGGATGCAACATGTTCACTGTGTGTTATAAATCATCATACTCTTAAAAGCTATAACCACAAATAAGTAAATATTATAATACATTAAAACTGTTCTTATGAATATTCATAAGATGATATAACATATTGTAAGGTTTTTTATAATTCATTATGCATTCATTATAATTCCTTAAGAATACCCTTCTAATGTATTATAAACATGAGCTTCATAGAAAGTGTTACCAAATTCTGCAGCAGAGTGATGATATCTCGGATCATTATCTAGTCTTGTGTATACTCCATATAGCTAAAGCTGTTACAAGTATGGTCGAACCATCACTTCTACCACGAAAGACTGCTTTGTAAATAATCTTCCCGATTTGTCTCAATTCCTCTTATAAGCACAAAATTTTAAAACAATGTCCAAACGGTCATTGGCTAAGGGGTTTGCATATGGGGGTTCGTGGACGCTGCGCCCCGCCCACCCGAAATTTTTGGGGGACCGGCTGGCACCCCCCGCCGACACTTCCCAGCCGCCCGATGTCCCCGGGTGAATTTTGGGAGGCCTGACTCAACTGGGGGCCCGACGGGAGCACCCCGAAGTCTGAGGCCCCCAAAAGCAGTATTGCCTTCATCCACTGTGTGGCAACACCACCATCCCACTCCAGGATTATTGCAATGGGCTTCTGGGCCATTCATAGAGTCTAGGGGTGGACGCTTTCTTGATTCCCCCCATACCACGAACTCATTATTTGTCCACTGACCCACTAAAGTGGGCAAATGACCCCCGGACCCCCGCTGACCACTGCCAAGCCACGCCCCCCTCCCATGAACCCACTATTTGTCCAATTACCCACTAAAGTGCGCAATGACCCCCGGACCCCCGCTGACTCTCCAAAGAAA